GTTATTCCAGGTCTCTTTACGAACCTTGGTGAGCTTGAAAAGGACCACAACAACGTTGCTATGTGTGTACGAGTTGTTCATGTCAACCATGTGCAGCCTTTTGAAAGAAACATTGAACTGATGGAGGTTTGTTGTTTTTTATGAAGATGAGGTGTGTATTCTTTGTCTAAATCCTGATAATTCAGGTTATTGTTTTTTAGATCAATTAAATTTCATTTATGCATTCATGTATCTACCGTAAAAAATGTGAACAAACGTAAAAATAAAATGTTCTAACAAGGCACTCAAACAAAACATTTTTTTGAATTTTCTTTCATAAAATTGTGATGGTGTAAATTACGCACCGGGTAAATTACTTTAGACAAGGTCTAGGGTGACTTACTAATGTAAAATAAGCAAAAGGCACGGGGAACAAGTGTTGATCGGGAGGACTGTAGGTGGAACACCTTTAGTCCGATTATAATTAAATATAGGCAAGAGTATAGGGGAAAATTATACAAAAGCTTTCTAGCACTACAAAAAAAACGTGGAATTGGCACGGCTTTTTGGCACGGACTGTAGTTTACGTTTTCCGTGACTAAGGTATTAGGCACGGATTTTGGCACGGACTCGAAACGCTGCCAATTTCGAAGCTCCAAACCGTATGGCACGGAAATCCAGTCCGTGCCAAATATACACACGACGTCATTCGTGACAAAATCGTTCCAAACTGACGGTTGTAAGAAAAAAACGTTAAAGATATTAGGCACGGAGATGTCTGTGTCAAAATTGTAAGTCACGGATATATCCGTGCCTTTATTTTGAAAATTTTCAAAATTTTCAAAAATTTTCAAAAAATTCAAATACGCTGGGAGATTAAATTCCGAAATTCAAATATTTTTCCACGGACATATCCGTGCCATGGATTTTAAAAAATAAAAAAATATTTTTTGTCACGGATTTATCCGTGCCTTAGATTTCGAAAAATTAAAAAAAAATTTGAAAATAAAAATTAATAATACATAACAGGCCATAATTCAAATACGGAATAAATCACTCACAGCATAATAATGTAGATTAATAAAAGTAATATCCATAATGAAAGTAATGTCTAGCATCCAAACGAAGATCATTACAGACAAATGTTAATGATGAATAATTACAGATTTTCATTGTTTAGAAAATTGTTAACACCACAGTTATTTGAATTGTGTCATTCCGGTTGAACGTTTGGCATTTGGGGGAGGACCGTAGGTTATTGAAAAACAGGCATGGGAGAAGGCAAAACCCACAGGAATTAAAGGTGCTCCTCATTACTTTGTCTGTGTCCGCCGGCAAAACCCTGAGCAACCATGTGTAACGAAGCTATAAATGTAATAAAAAATAAATTAGTATTGAAATAAATTAGTATTGTGATTAGGGCAGCTTGTTGGCTTGAAAAAAATTAAAAAAAATTAAAAAATCATACATATAATATATGAGATAATAAAAAACAAAAAAATTACCCTTCAATTCGGCCTTAGTGATTAAGCGCGGAAGATCCCCGTACGACACCGCACTAGCCTCCGTTGAAACTCCGTCTCCTCCTTTGCCGCCTCCTCCGCCCTCGACCTCGACCTCAGCCTCCAAGTCGCCACCGGCATTGAATATGGACTACGGGGTAGTGGTAGATGGGGATTTCGGTGGTGCTCGAGAGTGAGAACGCTGAAAGCTTCCCCTACCACGAAAGCTACCACGGAAGGAAGTGCTCCTTGCTGAAGACATTGAAAGGAGAAAGGGTTATGAGGGAGGAGGGCGGAGGAGGGAGGAGGGCGGAAGAGGGATGTCAGCGAAGAAAGAGATAAGAGGAGGAGAGTGGTTAATGAAAAAATCGAGAAAGAACATGTAAGGGGTGGTAATATATATAATTAAACCGTAGGCACGGACGTAAGCACATCCCCAACCGTGCCTATACCGTGTAGTAAATATCGGATTCTTGGGTAACGGTGTAGGCATGGCCGTTGTTGTGCCAAATTTCAATATCTCTGCGTGTGTCAGGCTTTTTGTGTGAGATCCATTCTAGGCACGGCTTTTTCCGTGCCTAATAGAGGGCATTAAACACGACAGTTTTTGGTAATTGCATAGGCACGGCCCTGTCCGTGCCAAACAAAATGAACTCTTCGTTTGTAGGGGTGCATTAATAGCATGTCATAAAACGAATTTATTGGGCTTTTATGTAGGCACGGCGGTTTCCGTGCCAAACTAAATGCCTCTGCAAGTGTGTCAGGCTTTTGTCTAGGATCGAAATTAGGCACGGCTATTTCCATGACAAAACAGTCTTGTCCTTTTCGATTTTGAATTTTATGAGAAACGTAGGGAATTGGAACAACTAAATCCGTGCCTATTGGTTAGAATAAACACCGTCCGACAACACCATTAAGTTCTTAACGTTTACGCTATTGGCACGACATTTGGCACGGAAAAATGCTAAGCCAAATTGAAACGCAAATAGAAACACGCCATGTGTCTACTTTCTTTTTTCGGCGTAGTCACGGCATGTCCGTGCCTAATATTCCGTGCCAATTCCAGGAGTTTTTTGTAGTGTAGTGAGAGAATTTCAGATTCCTTATTTTGGGGATTACACATGGTATTTATAGGGTTAAAGGGGGAGACAGGGCGCCGTTCGCCAATGTTCACCCATGTGAGGAAGTGACTCGAGTTTGTCTTGTATTTTTTGTCCTCTTCCTTACTTGATGTCTTACTATGCTTTGTCTTGTAGCGTTTGGACACGCTAGTCGATGTGAAGGATCTAATCCTCTCCAAACGCTACCTTCCAAAATACGCCGAACTAAAGATTTGGACGATCCCCGACAGGCTACCCGGGTAATATTTTCCAATAAATTGCCGGGTGGTTTCTTAGTTTTACGCTTGCCTGGATCTGCTTGCTGATTGGTGAAGTAACCATGTTCTATCTGGGTGGTTAGATCCACCTGGTCAGATTCATAATTGCTTGTTCCGACAGACGTCTAAAATGGTTATGATTCACGTGGGTAAATTTTGCAATGGGCCCGACATGTGTTCACGCAGCAGGAAGAGCACTTGACTAGTTTCCTCCATGTTGGTACTCCTGTACGGCTGTACAGCACCGATTCAGCCACCATAGACTGGGCACGCTTCGACACCTGATACATCAAAAGCAACACAGACACACTCAATTCCACCCTGATTCTGATCTTCTTTTGTGGAAATTTTATCAGACTTCTACTTGTTTTTTCTTATGATTTGACCAGGTTGCTTGGATTTGGGATTTTGTTTTGAACAATCATTTTATGAACAACTTTGTGGAGAAGACCTTGGGGAAGTTTCATGTGCTATATGCCGATTTCCCCATAATTTTCCTTGATTTATTTATATTTGAATCTTCATTTTTGAATTTTTTAAGTGTTAGAATAACTTAATATTTGCATGTGATCTTTTTAACCGCAACTCTAATTTCTAAACACTTTTAACCGCGAGGGCGCCGTTCAGCTTATGTGTTAATTAGGAGATGAGAGTTATGGTTAAAAAGATTTTTAGAAAGATTTTTATTTTTATACTTGGAGGATAATTACATGAAATAGTCATCATTTCTGATATTCGGACTCATAAATTTTTAGATATTACTCGCCCAAAATTGAAATTTTTTTCTTTAACTTAGATTTTTGCACATATTTTGACTTAAATTGGTAAAACTAACATTATGTTCTCTAATTTTTCAATAAATATTTTTTTAGCACAACAAATTTTTTTGAGGTCAATTAATTTTTAATTGCTTTATGAGAAATCTATTTAGTAGTGTTCCTCTATTTCTCAAAATATGAGCATTTATTGTTTCTTTAAATGTAATAAAAAATTTAAGAACGCACTTAGGTGAGACCAAGTATTTGAGTGAAAAAAAGCCAAAAAAGATTTGGTTCAATATCAGATGGTGAACTGTAAAGATATTTTATTTTTTTGTTTAATTTTTCTAGTAAAACGTACGTATTTTAGTGTACATAATTAGTTGTTTATAAAATAAAACTTTACAATACTTGTTTAAAAATGTTTTACATTCAATAAAATTTTGAAATAAAACTCATTATTTTTTATCATTTCAAATAGTCTATGAAAAAATTAGGGGCACTGCCCCCGAACCCCAATCAATGCATGGTGCCCCCATATATTTCAATTTCTGAATCCGCCACTGTTCTTCAGTTTGACTCCCAAATAGCTTGATTTTCTTGTGCGGCTTGTTAGTCATTACGAGCTCCACCATTGAAAGCTAGCCTTCACGTTTTAAAAATGAAAAATGCTAAGGGTACACCAAAGGTGTACCCCATTTGTCCTCCACCCCCTCCATTACCACATAAATGGGCAAGAATTTTAAAAAAAATTAAATAAATAAAAAGTAGATAAAAATGAGTGGTGGAGAAGGGGGTGGGGGACAAATGGGGTACACCTTTGGTGTACCCCTAGCATTGCTCTTTAAAAATATATACTTATACTCATCACATATTTATTTCCCATAAAGATATTCCCATTTCAATTTTTTGGAAAATTTAACGGAGAGGTATTTTTGTATTGATTTTTTCAAAAATACCTGTAATGTGATAGATAAAAGTATGATGTGATAGGTAGATTAATAGTAAAAACGTATGATATGATAGGTATGATAAGAATTAGTAGAGGTAAATATGATTTTTAATAGTAATAGGAAATACTTTGTGGGACAAGAAAAAAAAGGAAAAAGAGTTTTTGGAAAGGGTGGAGTAATAAGATGGTTCTTCGTAGTTTGTTTTCAGTGATTTGTGTAAATTTGTATTCTTCATATGACCAGTATTTTAATGTAAGACAAGAGTATTTAAGACTAAAATAATCATAAGACCTGTTTGGGAATAACGTTACAGATGGTACGTTTTGGATAAGATTTTAACGGTACAGATTAGTTTGAAAACCCTAACGCTAAACACTGCACGTAAATAGCCTTTTCAAAACGCTAACGCTAATTACTGAAACAATAAGAGCCACAAGGGAACTTTTTATTATTATTATAAAAACAACGCATGCATAGGTTGTAGAGTTGTACGTACGACGTATTACAACATACGGGGTAGTAATTAATTAATGCATAAAACAAAACCACATTACGAGATAATATAATAAAAATAAACCACATCACATTTTGGAAATTGAAATGAGAAAATTAAAGTGACCGGCAACATGCATGCATGAAACACATATATATGTTGGTAACATATAGTTTTGAAACCCCAATAATTAATCAATCAATCAATCATTGGAAATGATTTTGAATTTCTTCAATGATTTGATCCGTGACTTGAAAGGATTTCGCCAGAAAACCTTGAGGCAATGACAAGCTCCTCCCGAAGACCTGAGCAGGCACGAAGTTGAAGCCGGGGTTTTGGCTGTTGAAAGCCGTGATGGTGGTGGCATCCCCGTCGCTGGAGACCTGGCCGAAGTGGACAAGGCCCTGCGGCACAACGAAAACGTCCCCTTCTGCGCACTCCTTTAAGTAGGCCGTGTTGTTCTTGTAGCCCGTGGCGGGGTCGGCAGACACGAATCCCAAGGTTATGGTGCCCTTGAGGACAAGGGCTAGCTCGGTTGCCCGGCTGTGGACGTGGGGCGGGATGGCGGCGCCGGGCAGGTAGTCGTTGCGGATCAGGGTCAGCCCGAGGGTGTTGAGCCCGGGTATTGTTGTAACACTTGCGGCGCTAAAGGTGGAATTTGGGAATGCCGCTTCGGCAGTGGACGTGTTGAGACCCGATGTGAAGAAATCCTCTGCTGTCACTTTATCTCGAGCCTTGCACGCCAGCCCATTCACCAACACTGCACCCACCGTACCACAATCCATCCATCCATCCACAAACAAAATATTTATGTTTTATATAATCCTCTTACACATGCATCTTCTTACATGATTTATAGGATCGGTATACGAAGAACGATTTGATATGAAAATTAATTGTGTGATTGAAAGTGATGCAATACAAGATATAGAAAATATATATTGGTATTTTTAGTATCATCGGTTATTTTATGAGGAATTTACTTAAATAACACTAAAATATAATGACTTTCTCTAAATAGCACCACATGTATTTTTCTTTCCAATGTAGCACTTTTAGTCATTATGCATTAGTCATTATCCAAGCAAATATTTGCCATCATTAGACATTATAGACATTATTAAGTGTTATTTAGAGAATAAAATAATTTAAGTGCTATTTAGGGGAATGACTTAAGTTTTAGTGCTATTTAGTGCAAATATTTCTTATTTTATTTAATTCAATTTACTTAGAATATATGAATGTGAATCTTTATAGACATTGTTAACGATTTTGGGAATAATAACAATAACAATAATAGTAATAATAATAATAATAATAATAATGGCCAAATAGCGCCAGTACCCCCCGTGGTTTGCAAAATATGCACCAAAACCCCTTCTATTTTCAAAACTAATTTCTAAAGTCCTTGTGGTTTCAAAATGATGCACCCGTGCCCCCTCTGATCATTTTCTGGCCATTTTTCCAGCAAAGAAGGGGGCATTGCTGCATATTTACTAAACCACAGGGGGTATCGGTGCTGATATTTATTTCTCGCTTATTTTTTGTTTTTTTCCATTTTTCCTTTATTTGTTTCTTTTATACTCCCTTCGTCCCGGAGTATTTGTCCAGTTTTGACTTTTGGAACTGTTCATCTAAGCACTTTGACTCATCAAATTCTCTCAATGTGTAAGCCTAAATATAGTCACGTGTGATCTTGTTTGATTTGTCTTAACATATAGATTATTAATATATAATTTCTATAATTTTTTAATATACAAATTACAAGATAAAATGGATTAAAGAAGTGTATTGAATGGTGTGTAAAAATGAAAGTAGGCAAATACTTTGGGACGGAGGTAGTAATTTTTTCAACACAAAAAAAAGAGGGCATTGCGGAAGTACGTACCTGTAGAAGTGTTGTCAAAAACACAGAAGTCCTGGAGAGGGCTTGGATCGTAGGCATTAGCCAAAGTAACAATAAGGGCTAACAATAATATGGCTACTATTGATGTGTGAAAGGCAGCCATGATATGCTCTCTCTTTTTTCAGTTATTATTTAGTTAAGGATGGAAGTACATTTTGTGATAGTAAAAACCATGTATTTATATATACAAAAGAAAGAAAAAATTAAACCAATATTTCTGTGTTTTCACACCGGTTTTTTGAATACCGGTCCAGTATTTTTACTTTTAAGCAGTATAAAAAGTTTTCTTTTAACCCCATTTTCTCAATAGCTGTCATGGGGTTGGAAAAGTAGAAACCAAGGAAGCTTCTCTTGTTCTTTTTTTCTTTCCATAATTACAGTTAGCTCCATTTTAATGACCAAAGTGTGTGCCAACTTTGGAAAAAAGTTTTGGTTTGTTTTTTTTTTTAAGGATGGGCTCCAGCCCGGGCTAGGGTCCCATGGGACCCGGTCGGATGGTTAATTACTGAGATGAGGTAATTTGGACATTAGTCGTAGATGTTTAGCATAGTTGCCACCTAGCGTAGTTTCCAGGAATCGAACTCGAGTCTACCCATTGACACTCCTGGCCTTTGAAATTTGTGCAATGCGGTTTGTTTTTAAAAAAGAATTTAGGGGAGACATGGGTTATTAAAAAAAGATTATATAATTTTTTCTGGAGATTTCCTAACTTTTTTTCAGATTTTTATTACCTATTTTTATCCCAAGTTAAATATTCAATGAAATTTGTTCAAACATTAAATATAGGGAGCATCATTTGCACTGAACATTTGGTCATATACGCAATGCCTAGATCCCCATTTTTATCAATTGTTATTTGAAAAGGTAAAAACAAGTATTCCAACTTAAGTTGAATTGCCACAGCATATGGCATGGGTTAAGGGTATAAACGAGTGAAATGTTTCACTTTATGTGCACAATTATTCAAAAAATAAAGAAAAATGCATCTTAAGAAATTTGTGATTTAATTAACACAATTATATTTTTAAGATATATATTACAATATTTCATTATAATTTTACAATTTTGTTATGTGTATTACTTTAATATTAATTATTGCATGTTATTATATTATTAGTGTTTTTACTTACCCGAAGTGTATGTAATAGTTTTTGGGCAGAAAACTGCACCTAGGTACCCCCTATTTTGAGAAACTAACTGCCGGGTACCTCATATTTTTAAAATATACTCTTGGGTACACTCTATTTTGAGAAATTAACTATCGGGTAACTCACTTTTCTAAAATATACTCCGGGGTACCTCCAAATGTATATTAACTTACCCGTGAGAGACATTCCATTTTATTCGAAAGATTCGATTAAACTGGATAGATTGTATCCTTAAATTATAAGACCCAAGGTTACTTTTAAAATTCCAAACCCCTATTTCTTAAAAATTAATGGGGTAAAATTAATGTATATTTGGAGGTATCCTGGAGTATATTTTAAAAATGTGAGGTACCCGATAGTTAGTTTCTCAAAATAGAGGGTACCTTGGAGTATATTTTATAAATGTGAGGTACCTGATAGTTCGTTTCTCAAAATAGAAGATACTTCGGAATATATTTTGAAAATGTGAGGTACCCGGCAGTTAGTTTCTTAAAATATGGGGTACCCAAAAGCGGTTTTCTGGTTTTTAATTTGGGCTATACTTCTTGTATGAATTTGTTTGGTTTGGTAATGAACTTGTGTTTGATATGCAAAAAACAACTAATTATTATTTTAAAGAAACTAATTTATATGATTCAATTTTTTAAAGCCCGCTTTTTTTCTCGTCCGGGATCGGCTTTGAATTGGTTTTAATCTCATTTGAGATGATTTCTCAATCTAAATAATGCTTTTACAACAAATTTCTAAAAATTTAAAGAAGCCCGTAGATGTTGCGTAGTTGGCAAAGATAGAGAGTGTTAAGGGGATAGATCCGAGTTCGATTTCTTACCTATGGCCTTTGCAAGTACCAGGTGCAGGTCGTCTCAGCCACCAATCTACGATTAAAATCTAATTTTTATCTTTCTCAATATTGTCCAGCCGGATCTGAGGCACATCTTCTTTTTTTTCTGAAAAAAGAATGACCGGTACATAGGAAAGTTGTAAGGTTGGCTTTAGATCAGGCTTAAACTTCAAAAGCCACTTTTAACCATTAAAGTAAGCTGACTTTGACAAAACTTTGCAAAGTCCGGTTTAAATTTAGAATGCTGGGTTTGGGTGGATTCCACCAGCCTCAACCATTTCTCCTATTCTCCTTTTTTCCCCTACTTTTTACCTTTTTTTTTCTTAAAATGAAATTGGATGTTCCGTTTATTTCTATTTTCTAGTTACATATAGCTCTTGTTTGGATGTTGGCTGTCTACTGTTGGCAATTTAGGCCAACTATTGTGAACGATTGTTTAATTTAGCTGATTTGACTGATAGAATGAGTTGGCTGATCGTTAAAAGTGCTTGATAAAATTAGATGTTTGAAAATAGTTGTTCATATATATATATATTGACTCCAATCAGATGACACCTTACGGTGAGATAACATGCTACGGTCAGATGACGCAAAGCTCACCACAGGCCATCGCAAAGCTCACCAAAGAGAACTACAAAACTCACCAAACTGTAAGGTAAAACTCACCACATTTTTTCAACACTTTGAATTTTTTTTGAAAAAAAATAAAGTCAAAGGAAGGGCTGTTGATTAGATTTTGACCGTTGACCGCCACCTTTGACCGCCGCCACTGCTCCATCGCTGTCGTTCACCGGTTGCCACCACTGCTTCGCCAACGTGCCGCTACCCCATTAGTGTGCCACCACTGCTCCTCCGCCGGCCGTCGCGGCTGACCGGTGGTTGACCGGTGTTGACTGATCTGTAGTATGTAATCCATAATTAAATTTACTTAAAAATGTTAAAATAATAAAGAAAATTAGTGTAAATATAATTTCATGTTGACACATACATGTTTTGAATCAATTGTATTCTATAATATAATTTCAAATATTATATCATAATAGATAATTAAAAATAAAATATCTTTAATTTTAAATCATAAATTATCTAGGAAAAATAAATCAAAAATTATCTAGTAATAAAATCAAATCATAAAATCAATTTATTCAAACTCTATAATTATGTATAGTATTTTTCTATTTTAGAAGCAACTATAGTCTAGTTATCTCTTGTTTCATAAATTCTTTTAATTTAGTTTTTAAAGTATATATTTTTTAGTTTTCCATCAATATTGCAATTAATGGAATCAAAACTAACTTTATTATAAAATATCATAAAAAATACTCGTATGACATTAATTTAAAGGTAAAATAGCATCCAATTCTTTAATTGAAAGTTTTAGTATAAATGAAGAAAATAAAAAGCATTGAATTAGGAAAACGAATTTCATAAAAATGAGCATTCCTCGTCCATAATTTATTTTTTCAAATAGTTTCTATTAAAACATTGATCTTACGTTTTATATATATGTCCAAAATTAGGTGGCATATTATGTATTTGAAAAATATGAAGTTTCTCTATAGGTGAGGAAACTATTTTATTTATTAGGTGTGAATATTTAAATTAATATAATTAAACTCGCTTTGTTTAAACATATCACAAGAAATTACAAATATGAAATTAGTTTATGGGTGAAGATAATATTTATTTATTTATTATTAAAAAGCCTATTCTATTTTAAAAAAATTATAGTAAAGTTGCATATTTTTTTTATAATTTCTTAAGGAAAATTTTAAAATATAATGTTTGGTTTTAATTTTACATCAATATTAAAATAAATATAGAATCAAATCTAATTTTATCTAAATATGTCATAAACAAATACATGGGTTAAAATTATTAAGAAGTCAAAAAACATATTATTTTTTAATTAAAAGTTTTACTACAAACCTATAGACCAAAAAATACTATATTGAATTGGAAAAAAAATATTATCATAAGAACTTATGTTTCTCTTCAATAATTTAATTTACTCAAAGATTTAATATCAAAATATTGAATTCACATTTTTTATATATACTTAATTAGGTGGCATATTAAGTATCAAAAAAATTAAAAAATTTATTTATATGTGAAAAAATATACTATTTATTAGTTGTCAAAATTTAAATAAATATAATCAAATTAATTTCATGTAAATTTATGAACATATACAAAATTTATTTCGATGTGAAGTGAGTATTTTATTTATTATTCTAAAATTTTGTTATAATGAGAGAAGTTTATAATTTAGATATATTGGATGTTTAAAAGATCCGGATAAATATGGCATATGTTAAAGATCATATGGCATATCCGGTGTTTAAAAGAAAATAAATCTTTAAAGCTTTCCACATGTCATTCTCTAAATATTAACACATGTCACTCTCTCAAGTTTGACACATGTCATCCTCTTAGAGACCAAACTCTCAAATTTATATATAAAGGATAAAGGATAGGGCGGCGCATGTTTACATCAGCCCATGTACCCAGACGGCGCGAGGTGACTTCCTTTCGTCCCGTAGCATTTTGTCACATTCCCTTGTCATCTTGTGCTGATGACTCATTCTTTGGCGCGTAGCGCCTAACTGTTATTGAGGGAATATCCTCAATCTTTCGTTGGAATCGTTCACTACCGTCCAACTGACTTTAAATTAGAGTTATTCGTGCCGATACTTTCACACTGTAGTAACCTACCCGGTAGGTTTACCACTTGTTTGTGTTCTGAAGGGGCAGAAGATCACAAGATTGAAGTCAAGTACTCTGACCGGTAGTCTATATTTTATACCGGTCAACTTTTTCGAACTCGACCGGTGGTCTATATTTAGTTTATTTATATAATCTATTCTGACATGTTTGAATCTTGACCGGTCAGTTTCTGTGGACCCGGACTCTGACTAGGTCCTGAGTAGAATGCACCATTAGTTTTAAAATCAATACTTTAATGGTTTACACAAACAACAACAACAACAACCCAGTTAAATCCCACAAAAGTAGGGTCTGGGGAGGGTGTGTGTACGAAGACCTTGCCCCTACTCGAAAGTAGAGAGGCTGTTTCCAAAGAGACCCCCGGATCAACGTCGAAAGTTGCATTGCTTAACTAACTGTTACTTCATTAATTAAAGAAGCACAGACAGTTTAGAGATCCATTTTGATTTATTCCATCACATTCCAAAGCCAAAAATGGTGAAATTTTGGCTCCATCCGAGATGATGGAAATGGTTTACACAAACACAAAATATTAATGCAAAATTTTGGGATCTAGAATTTGTACGAGTAGCACCATTATTGAAATTAAACTTATGATTATTGGAAATGTGACTAAAGAGTTCGAGATGGACACATGGACAGTTGGACCCGGTCCTGGTGCCTATATGACCGTTAATTCCTGCCCTACTCTTCCTCCAACCGACGAATCTCCCGCCGACGCCCCACACCCATCTTCTGCGATTAAGTCACAGAAGAGAACCAATCATCGTTTCATTACAACGGGCCTTCGTCCTCACACCCCAAAACCGTAAGTTTTACGCTTAATTTTTTCGATCGAAGTTTCTGGCAGAGTGAAGAACAATATTCTCCGTGTGTTGATCTGTTGCGCAGGTAGAGATCGAGAAGTATGAATCGGTACCAGAAGGTGGAGAAGCCAAGGGAGGAGACTCCGATGGACGAAAATGAGATCCGAATCACCACGCAGGGGAGGCTGAGGAACTACATCACCTACGCAGATAGCCTTCTTCAGGTGATCTAGATCCCGTTTGCGATTTTCATCATTCAAAGGATCCCTAGTTCTTCCTGTAAATAGATTTTTTCGTTTACTTAGTGTTGAGATATTGATTGTTCATGGTGGAAATTTCACCTAAATGCTCCCAAAAATGGATGATTTCACGCCAATAAAGGAAAAAAAAATAAATTACTGTGACCACTCTGATAATGTGGAGTTCCATGAGCAATCACTCTGATAATGCCTGAGTGGAACTGGCCATATATGAGAAGTGGTCAGAATTTCACCTTATTTTCTGGAGTGATCCTGTAAATTTTTTACTTCTATGAAGTATTCGGCAGCAAATGTGTCAATGCATCAGAGTAGAGATTATACTAAGTATGTTGTTGTTGTACTCCCTCCATAGTCTGTCCCTAAAGAAATGTCAAAATTTTAATTTCTTTACGTCTCGTAATACTTGTCAAATCCACTTTAGAATTACTACATATCCCTATTTCTTGCAACCTAGAAAGTGTGTGTTGTATTTTTCAACTATTATCATTAATTAATAGCCAATGAAAAAAATAGATGATGATTTCCCATATTTAATGCACAAGTTACGACGTGATTGTTAATGAGAAACAAAAGTAAATAGTGTCTCTTAATATTTGTATTCTTTAAAGATTTGACCTTATTTAGGGACAGGAAGTATTAAACTTCTTGCAAAGAAATTTTTGCCTATTGTTTTGAGTAGGTAAACTCTCATTTCTTCATTCTGAAAACTTTGTGCAGGAGAAAGGGGCCAGCGAAATATTACTTAAGGCAATGGGTAGAGCAATTAATAAATCAGTAATCGTGGCTGAATTGATAAAGGTGGCCGTAATGCAATAACTTTATGTCGTCCTTTGTCCACCCTGTTTTGAAATAGGAATAATAGATGCCAATAACCCCAATTTTTGCCCATTTTAAATAATAATCTCAAGTTTCATACAGTGTATTTCCCATCAACAATTCCATTTTTGCTACGTGCGATGCTAATGGTCCCTACCTTTCTGGCGGTGAGCTTTTGTGCAAGATTATGCTGACATAGTGACATGGAATATGAGAAAGGAGAGGGAAAATGAGAATGGAAAGAATCAGCAGAATCTCACATTCCATGTCAACACAATATCCTGAACACTCACAGGCAATGGCATAGGAACTATTAGCATCTACACCGAGCAGACTTGACTTATTGATGCGAAATATGAAACCTAAGATTCTTAGTGCAAAATATGCCAAACTTGATATTCTTGGTGATGGTTTTTCTATTTCAATAGACAAAATTGTTGCCAATAATCTCAACTTTGAACAGTCTTCCAGAAATAATCCCAAGTGTAAATGTTGTTAAGAAAAATCCATAAGTTTGCATCGGTCTTCCGAAAGTGATCCACACCTAATAAATACCATTAGCCTTCTGTTAGCCTTTAAAAATTTTTACCAGACTATACGACTTCGGAATTCTAACAATGTGTAGATTGAAGATTGGACATAAGTAATTCTAATCTTGGATTGGATCGGACCAAAATTACCTCGGCCTTTTTTTTAATGGTGCATGTGGCTGTCAATTGTGTCATTTACAAAAAACGTTGGCTGATGTTATTTTGGTCTACCATTCAAGATCGGAATTATATTTTGTCTACAAATTTTCAGAATTTATTTTGGTATAAAGTGGTTCTGTTGGATCCTAATTTTCAAGAAGTTAACACAAGGCTAACCGCGTTCGAGGGGAGGTCATGCTTGGATGACAAATGCAAATTTCGGATTAGTTTTACCAAAATTTAAACTTGGGATTATTTCTTGGAGACCACATTTTCCTTTTTAATATTACCATAACTGTATTTTAACTCATTTTGTCTTTTTAATAATATGGAGTAACATGTAATTGTTCTTTTTGACAGAGAAGAGTTGCAGGTCTCCATCAGAATACTTCAATTGGTTCTGTTGATATCACAGATACATATGAGCCTCTGGAAGAAGGCCTCCTTCCGTAAGATAGCCCTATGTTTTCCCAGTTATTATATTTTTTACTCTGAAACTGTGAGTACTTGACAAAGTTTCCTTTACACTCTTTCCTAGTGCAGCCAAGAGAGAATTCGTCATGTATCAGTGATAACAGTCACCCTTTCTAAGAAGGACTTGGACTGCTCTTCCCCAGGGTAATTCTCAATCACATCATTTTAAATGATTAATTGATATTTCCATGTTAGTGGGAGAAAAACTTTTTGCTGAGGAGGATTTGAAATATTCATCTCATTATTCCTTCATTAGAAGGTTTGTGACAGAAAGGGTATCCGAGTAAAACCTTGCCATTATGTTTTTATTTGTGTGAATATGTAGCGTTAACTAATTTTAGAAAATCAATTTCAGTGCAGCGATCTTACTTTTTCATTGATAAATCACACTGTATGGTTGCATTCTTGCAGATACCAGCCACCTATTCCAGCTGATCAAGTCAATCCAGTGGCCACTTATGATTATGAAAGGAGTATGTTACTGGTTTAATGATTGATTGAATTTGCATTCATCTGGATATGTATTTTATGTTGTTTTGTAATCCACCCCTACAAAACCTATAATACCAACTTTGTTGGAGTCTATTGGGTCAAGCATGTATCCTAACCCTTGTAAACAACTATGTTTGCCGCTTGATGCTTTGTTCTCTTTACTACCCAAAACTTCATAGAAAGTAAGAAACAGATGAAGATTAATGTGTCATTCGATTTCGTCCATTATCTACCCAATGCTAAGACATTGCCAATAATGACACTTTTACATTCATTGGCAATTGACACACAATACCTTGTAAAACCAACAACAACAACATTACCCCAGTGCCTCAAAAGGCTCCCGCCCATTGCCGTGGGGGGGGGGATGTATGCAGTGTGGCCTCTATGTTCAAACATAGAGCGGCTATTTCCATATGTCAATGATGAGCGTCGAAAGTTGCATTGGCTAAAACCAAGATAGAAAAAAACTTGACCAGTGTGGCTGTTAAATGTCTAGAATACTTTCTCAAAAGTTCCATTTTTTGGCAGGGAACACGAACAATGGAGTACTAAGAAATGATGAAGACAATGGATGGGAAGGAGAGCGCGGTGTTGCTGGAAGGGGCAGAGGACGAGGTCGAGGGCGTGGTCGTGGAAGAGGACGTGGGAGAGGCTATGTTATTTGGAATGATAGCTATGGTGCACCGGGAACAGTACCTACTCAAGGCCGTGGTAAGTTCATTTATGTACTTGTTTTGCATTATTTATTTCCTTCAAGACTTGATGGTTATTTGATATTAGCTCTAAGTAGTTACTTCCCTTGACATTTTTTTGAGATGGGTTCAGTGCACTATCTAAATTATTCTCCAGGGAATAGAAATAGTTGTCCGGAAGAATCCCTTATGGCACTTGACTGCCCCTAAATGCCCACTTTAGCTCTTGGCAAGAACATGAAACTTTTCACATGCTTCTGTGATTTTTGCCCCATTTAGTTGCCCATTTCTTATCTTTTTACATCAACATAACTTTGAGATTTCTCAAATGAATCTTGAAGTGGTGGACACGGTTCCACCCAACATGAACCTTATGGCCAAAAACTGGAACCAAAACCTTATGTGTAAGGTTCTTGTCCCGGTTCCATCTTATGGAGGGCCTGAACCAGTTTTTGAACCGTAATCCGAACCGCCGGTCCTAAGGATCGGAACCGAGTACAGCGGTTCAAGTTTAGGTTCTTGGTTTCACGGAACCGTTGTTGAACCGTATCCACCCCTTCTTGATGATTGAAATAATGTGCATGTGTGCCTCACCATTATAACACGTTAAAACGATAATTCACTCCCTACAGAATAACACAGTTGCCATCTTTTTTGACAAGAGACTATGTCTTCTTGTAGGCGGCGGCGGCAGGGGCCGACGGAGTGGCAGAGGGGTCGCCCGTGGAGTGTTCAAGCCAAATGTTACAATTCAGGCAGCAGCAGCCTAAGATTTCAAACACTGAACTGTAGATCTTAGTTCTCACCCAAAGCTCTTTTAATTCCTTTGCATATTATTTGCTCCTTTACAGAAACGAGAGCTTTCTAAATGCTGCCATAAGCTACTCTTGCTTTCTTTGTTGCTCTTCTTTGGTTGTCTTCTTTGTTTAAGCTCTAAAAGAAACTTTGATCTACACTCCTTCCATCCCAATATTTTTAATTTTTTACTTTTTTGTTCGTCCCATTATTTTTGTCTCGTTTCACATTTGAATCATACTCCTATTACTCCCTCCGTCCTAAATTGATTTTTTCAGACATCGTCAAACTATAATCACTTTCTTTACATGTTTTCGTTAATTATTTGATAAAATAATATAGTTATGTCACCTCTTGTTTTGTAGATTTTTTGATGTAGTTTTAAAATATATAATTTTTATTTTTTTTATTTACACCTATAATCAAATAAATTAAATTGAAAATAATTTCATTCAAACCTCGTAAACCGAATTGGGAAGATGATTTTAGGATGGGGGAGTACTAAGTTTGTGACACTTTTACTCCAAAAGCGGATAGATGTTAGTAGCCTCAGTACTGGAAAAAGATGTTCCAAATTAGGGATACTTTTATGGGACTGCCAAAAGATAAGACTTGCTATATTAAATATGTGTATGACTTGCTGAGGGAACTAAGTACAAAACCTTGGTGGATGAAAGTTATATGGAATAAATTTACCATTCCTAAACAAGTTTTGTCTTGGCTTCTATTTAGAATTCAAACTAAAGATAAACTTGCTTGGTTTTTGGGGAAGGCATGGCCCTTGGGCTAGGATGACACGCACAAATGGAGAAATGGCCCTTATGTGAGCTCGCCACCGAGACAAGTACTCATTTGTTTGGGTTTTGTGTTTGGAAAATGCTTGGGTGCCCGATGACTGCACTCAAGCTTCGCCCAGATGATTATCATTTGTGTCATCTATGCGAGGCTTGGGTGCACCCATGGTAGCAACCATTGGGGTACCCTAGCATGGCCCTTTGTGTTTATGTTGTTTATTTGTCTAAGCACTACTAAAAAAATTATTTGTCACAGGTTTTTAGTCACGGACCATAGTTTAAATATTTATTGACAAAAAACTTAGACACTGTCCGCTAAGAGATGTGTCAAATAGACTTGAGAAATATTTCGTCATGGACGCAGGTGTCGTGACAAAATTTGTCTCGGCTTAATCACTCCTAGTGTAACGCCTTAAAACATACCCTAAAATTTTTAATGAATAATTGTTAAATTAGTCAATTCCGTTTTGATTAAAATAAATTATTATTGGGCTTTTGGGCCAAAATGAGATGTGTTTTGATGTCATAACAACAATATTTGTTCATGTCATTCCACAATATTTAGATCCACTTTGTAGTAACAATTGTTTACCTCATCAAGATGAAATTTAGTCAAGAATTTTCAATTTTACACACATTTTTTTAAGCAAAGATTTTCATCTTCCAATATGCAACACATTTCACACAATTTTTTTTAAAAACAAAATAGTTTTGTCCTTAGTGTTTTATTAGCTCAAGCTAGGTGTCTTAAGACACACATTTTTTTTTGCACGAATATCTTTAAAAGATACTTTGTATAAATAACATTGCCAAAAACTTATTTTATTAGCATATGAGAGTTGCTAAAAGGGTAAAACACATTTTTATATTATTGAACTATTTGTTTGAGAAATATTTGAATTAAATAGAACTAAAACTTAAGTCATTTCTCTAAATAGCACTTAAACTATTTTATTCCCTAAATAACACTTAATAACGTCCGGTGATAACGAATATTTACTTGAATAATGACTAATGGATAATGACTAAAAGTGTTACATTGGAAAAAAACACATGCGATGATATTTAAGGAAAGTTATTACGGAGTATGTTTTAGTGTTATTTAAGTAACTTCCCCTTTGTTCAAATCATTATAAACTTATTTCTTATTGCCCAATCTTTTGTAAAATATTTCCTTTTGATAAATTAACAATACATTTGCTTATTTCTGTCATTAAATACACTGAAAATTTTTCTTTAAATTCCCACTTTAAACGAAATATTATTTATTGTAGTATCCATGATATCACATAAAATATTATTTCTGTTAACATTAAATCAATTCAGAGTAAAATTTAAAGTAATTTTATCTAAAAAAATAGTATTGCATAATAAGTATGTTTTCAACAATCACTATAATCTTATCCGTATTATTTTTCCAAAATGCATGGCACCAGAAAACTTGTGATTTTTTTCGATAATTCATTTTACAATTATTTTACACAAAATAACAATACAAAAGTTGTGAAAATGGCACAATAATTTTTCTCTCCAAAATGGCACAAAATATTTTTATAACTCACCACAACTTTTTTGTATTGCAATTTATATCTCGAGTGATACTCTAAATTATTTTACGATAAACCACTATTATATTTCACCAAAAACAGAATACAATATACGTAAATCGTTATATTTTCTTAAAAAATTGAGACAAATGTATGAATTGTTTAATACCGTTAGATTTTGATAGACTTCTTAACATTCGACTTGAATATTCTAAGATTTCAAATGATTTTTTAAAATCTCAACTGAATATCCATTGACTTTTATAATTCAAAAAAAATTCGCATAGTATAGGTTGAATACACACCTTAATCTTTATTGTATATATCCAATTTTTACATTTATTCGTATTACTAGTATTCTACTATGTATTTGTTCTTCAAGACTGTTCGTCTGCGCGTCTCATAGTAAGCATAAAAAAACAAGTTCAAAATTGTATTCCCTCCGTCATTAAACTAGAGTTACGTTTGGAATTCAGATGTACTCTCTCCGTCTCGGAGTATTTGTTCATTTTTGACTTTTTCTGATCAAAAATAGTAAATTTTGACCCTAAATTAAATAAAAATAAAATTAGATATTGATACACATGTGTGGCTCGGAGGGTGTGCAAAGTGGCCAACGGGCCCCTAAAATTTTAGGGTCCCATATTTTTAAATTTGTTGATAATTTTAAAGTAAAGGTATTCTAAAAAAATAAAATAGAGCCTAAAATGCAATTTTGGACCGGACCAATTTTATTTTTTCATTTTTCGAGGCCGGCCTTGTTGATACAAAAATAGTTTTATACTTTTATTAGATAAAATATTTTCAAAACATTATTTTATATATTTAATATACAATATATATTTTATTTAATTATAAGTCAAAAGTTGGAATTAGCACTTTATTTTAATTATAGTTACTATTTCAGTACCAAAATACATTATAGTTACTATAATGAAAAGGACTGAGTGAGAATTTCAAAACTAATTTAGATGTGTTTGGAACTAGCACTTTATTTTAATTCTAAAATTTGAATTTTAAAATTTGAATGTTGTGAATTTCAAATGATAAAGAAATTTATCTAAATGTGTAATTGAGATTTGTTATGAATTAGAATAATTTATCTCGTATTTAAATCCAAATTTTTAAAGATTATTATGAAGTTTGAGAAAAATCTAAATTTAAAACCCCCAAATTCAAGTTTTCAAACATGACATTAGTGATATTAATTTTTTTAATGTAATTTTAATATCACTAATGTCATGTTTGGACATTAGCGTTATTAAATTTAATCACAACAAATTATACATTTATAGTTCATTGCAAAATTTATTCGATTATGAAAAAAATTAAATTGAGCTAGTATATTGTTAAAATATGCTTAAAATCCGATCATAATGTACGGTGAATCCTTTCTTTAATTTCCCGTAGCAAAATTCCCATTCCCGCCTTTTTCTCCTGTTCATCAATCGGATTCAATCATAACCCTACTAAGATGGATTCATTTCTCTTCTTCGATTCTTCTTTGAGAATATCGTATTCTGGGCAAATCAATTCGATTCACGAGGCCTCAATTGCAAATGCATACATCATATGCATTTGCATGATTGAATGAAAGCATCGAGCTAGGGCCGGCCTCCAGATTCGTCGTCTGAATTTCGACGCCGGCGATCGATTATGGAGCGGAAACTCGCGATTTGGCTCGCGATCCTGTCGGTTCTGGCCGCCGGCGGGCCGGCGCACGGGTTCATCGGGATCTATTGGGGCCGATACGCGACTCAGAGCATGGTTCCTTCGATGGTGGTGGATCTGCTTCTGCAAAACGGGATCTCGGAGATCCGGCTGTACTCGCCGTCGACGAACGTGCTGACGGCGCTGGAAGACAGCTCCCTGGGCGTCACCGTCACCTTGACCAACGATTTCGTGAAGAGGATGAAATGGAGCAATCTGCAGTCTGTTCGCGACTGGATTAACGAACTCGTTGCGGTGCCCGTCAAAAGGGGAGTCAATATCAGGCATGTCCCGCTCCATTTTTCATTTCTTCCACTTTTTTTTCTCTCTCAAAACTTTTACTCCGTCTAGGGCGTGTTTGGTTCGGAAGAGGGGATGAGAGTCGAGGGCTCCCCTCCCCCCCACCCCCATCCCTATTTGTTTGGCGGACAAGAATCTAGGTTAATGTGTCCCATATTGACACATCTAAAGTGGTTTAAATATAATTTTGGCATTAAAAGATAAGTTAATAGCAAAATCCTACCCACATTTTGGGTATGGATTTCTTAGTTTTGTGTTGGGTACTTTCTTGTTTGTGTTCTCATTTTAGGTCCAAGTTATTTCATTTCATATTCGTGTTAGCTAGGCACTAAAATTTTGGATGATTAACGAGTTCAACTCAAGAGATTAATTATAAGTCTGTTATATTCGTTTCAATTTTCTGATGTGGGATAGAATCTAACAGTTTGTATATATTTTTGGTTGAGGTTGAGTACTCAGTTATACATTATTACATTTGCACTTGAAACCTCTTATTAACCTAATACTCATATGTAAGAAGTTCTCAGTATCCTCATCATTCATACGGAGTACTCCGTACGTTTTTTTCTGATTATATTGGGTTACCCGTTTTGTTTACAGGACGATCATCGTTCTAGACGAACCATTCTATCCGGTGAAAGGAATGGATCCGATTTGGAATGCAACCAATGTGTTCAGAGAGACAGTGGATTGTCTGCAGAAGGCAAACCTG